AGATTTGATACAGAACTCTCCGTTTAGATTTTCAAAATCAGCGGTTCAAGCAATGCAGTAGGCTCATATAGGTAGAAAAAAATTTTTTTCCTGATTGCCCTAATGTTCCCAAAAAATTCATAGACACTAATTCGGACTCATTGAAAAATAATTTGATATCAGATTTGATACAGAACTCTCCCTTTAGATTTTCAAAATCAGCGGTTCAAGCAATGCAGTAGGCTCATATATGTAAAAAAATATTTTTTTCCTGATTGCCCTAAAAATCCCAAAAAATTCATAGACACTAATTCAGACTCATTAAGAAAGAATTTTATATCAGATTTGATGAAGAACTCTCCTTTTAGATTTTCAAAATCAGAGGTTCAAGCAATGCAGTAGGCTCATATAGGTCGAAAATTTTTTTTTCCTGATTGCCCTAATGTTCCCAAAAAATTCATAGACACTAATTCGGACTCATTGAAAAATAATTTGATATCAGATTTGATACAGAACTCTCCCTTTAGATTTTCAAAATCAGCGGTTCAAGCAATGCAGTAGGCTCATAATATACGTAGAAAGATATTTTTTTCCTGATTGCCCTAATGTTCCCAAAAAATTCATAGACACTAATTCGGACTCATTGATAAAGAATTTGATATCAGATTTGATACAGAACTCTCCCTTTAGATTTTCAGAATCAGCGGTTCAAGCAATGCAGTAGGCTCATATAGGTAGAAAAATATTTTTTTCCTGATTGCCCTAATATTCCCAAAAAATTCAAAGACACTAATTCAGACTCATTAAGAAAGAATTTGATATCAGATTTGATAAAGAACTCTCCCTTTAGATTTCCAAAATCAGCGGTTCAAGCAATGCAGTAGGCTCATATACGTAGAAAAATATTTTTTTCCTGATTGCCCTAATGTTCCCAAAAAATTCATAGACACTAATTCGGACTCATTGAGAAAGAATTTGATATCAGATTTGATACAGAACTCTCCGTTTAGATTTTCAAAATCAGCGGTTCAAGCAATGCAGTAGGCTCATATAGGTAGAAAAAAAATTTTTTCCTGATTGCCCTAATGTTCCCAAAAAATTCATAGACACTAATTCGGACTCATTGAAAAATAATTTGATATCAGATTTGATACAGAACTCTCCCTTTAGATTTTCAAAATCAGCGGTTCAAGCAATGCAGTAGGCTCATATACGTAAAAAAATATTTTTTTCCTGATTGCCCTAAAAATCCCAAAAAATTCATAGACACTAATTCAGACTCATTAAGAAAGAATTTTATATCAGATTTGATGAAGAACTCACCTTTTAGATTTTCAAAATCAGCGGTTCAAGCAATGCAGTAGGCTCATAATATACGTAGAAAGATATTTTTTTCCTGATTGCCCTAATGTTCCCAAAAAATTCATAGACACTAATTCGGACTCATTGATAAAGAATTTGATATCAGATTTGATACAGAACTCTCCCTTTAGATTTTCAGAATCAGCGGTTCAAGCAATGCAGTAGGCTCATATAGGTAGAAAAATATTTTTTTCCTGATTGCCCTAATATTCCCAAAAAATTCAAAGACACTAATTCAGACTCATTAAGAAAGAATTTGATATCAGATTTGATAAAGAACTCTCCCTTTAGATTTTCAAAATCAGCGGTTCAAGCAATGCAGTAGGCTCATATACGTAGAAAGATATTTTTTTCCTGATTGCCCTAATGTTCCCAAAAAATTCATAGACACTAATTCGGACTCATTGATAAAGAATTTGATATCAGATTTGATACAGAACTCTCCGTTTAGATTTTCAAAATCAGCGGTTCAAGCAATGCAGTAGGCTCATATAGGTAGAAAAATTTTTTTTTCCTGATTGCCTTAATGTTCCCAAAAAATTCATAGACACTAATTCGGACTCATTGAAAAATAATTTGATATCAGATTTGATACAGAACTCTCCCTTTAGATTTTCAAAATCAGCGGTTCAAGCAATGCAGTAGGCTCATATATGTAAAAAAATATTTTTTTCCTGATTGCCCTAAAAATCCCAAAAAATTCATAGACACTAATTCAGACTCATTAAGAAAGAATTTTATATCAGATTTGATGAAGAACTCTCCTTTTAGATTTTCAAAATCAGAGGTTGAAGCAATGCAGTAGGCTCATATAGGTCGAAAATTTTTTTTTCCTGATTGCCCTAATGTTCCCAAAAAATTCATAGACACTAATTCGGACTCATTGAGAAAGAATTTGATATCAGATTTGATAAAGTCGAAATCAGAGGTTCAAGCAATGCAGTAGGCTCATATAGGTCGAAAAATGTTTTTTTTCCTGATTGCCCTAATGTTCCCAAAAAATTCATAGACACTAATTTGGACTCATTAAGAAATAATTTGATATCAGATTTGATAAAGAACTCTCCCTCTAGATTATCAAAATCAGCGGTTCAAGCAATGCAGTAGGCTTCATACAGGTCGAAAACAATTTTATTCCTGATTGCGCTGAGAATCCCAAAAAATTCATAGAGACTAATTCAGACTCATTAAGAAAGAATTTGATATCGGATTTGATAAAGAACTCTCCCTCTAGATTTTCAAAATCAGAGGTTCAAGCAATGCAGTAGTAGGCTCATATAGGTAGAAAAATATTTTTTTCCTGATTGCCCTAAAAATCCCGAAAAATTCATAGACACTAATTCAGACTCATTAAGAAAGAATTTTATATCAGATTTGATACAGAACTCTCCTTTTAGATTTTCAAAATCAGCGGTTCAAGCAATGCCGTAGGCTCATATAGGTCGAAAAATTTTTTTTCCTGATTGCCCTAATGTTCCCAAAAAATTCATACACTAATTCGGACTCATTGAGAAAGAATTTGATATCAGATTTGATACAGAACTCTCCCTTTAGATTTTCAAAATCAGCGGTTCAAGCAATGCAGTAGGCTTCATACAGGTCGAAAACAATGTTATTCCTGATTGCGCTAAGAATCCCAAAAAATTCATAGAGACTAACTCAGACTCATTAAGAAAGAATTTGATATCGGATTCGATAAAGAACTCTCCCTCTAGATTTTCAAAATCAGAGGTTCAAGCAATGCAGTAGGCTCATATAGGTTGAAAAAATTTTTTTTTCCTGATTGCCCTAATATTCCCAAAAAATTCATAGACACTAATTCAGACTCATTAAGAAAGAATTTGATATCAGATTTGATAAAGAACTCTCCCTTTAGATTTTCAAAATCAGCGGTTCAAGCAATGCAGTAGACTCATAATATACGTAGAAAGATATTTTTTTCCTGATTGCCCTAATGTTCCCAAAAAATTCATAGACACTAATTCGGACTCATTGATAAAGAATTTGATATCAGATTTGATACAGAACTCTCCCTTTAGATTTTCAGAATCAGCGGTTCAAGCAATGCAGTAGGCTCATATAGGTAGAAAAATATTTTTTTCCTGATTGCCCTAATGTTCCCAAAAAATTCAAAGACACTAATTCAGACTCATTAAGAAAGAATTTGATATCAGATTTGATAAAGAACTCTCCCTTTAGATTTTCAAAATCAGCGGTTCAAGCAATGCAGTAGGCTCATATACGTAGAAAGATATTTTTTTCCTGATTGCCCTAATGTTCCCAAAAAATTCATAGACACTAATTCGGACTCATTGATAAAGAATTTGATATCAGATTTGATACAGAACTCTCCCTTTAGATTTTCAGAATCAGCGGTTCAAGCAATGCAGTAGGCTCATATAGGTAGAAAAATATTTTTTTCCTGATTGCCCTAATATTCCCAAAAAATTCAAAGACACTAATTCAGACTCATTAAGAAAGAATTTGATATCAGATTTGATAAAG